GGTGGTGGGGCCAGGTGGGCGTGTGCAGGATGCTCAGAAGCCCTTGGACCTTGGGTGGTCACCGGGTGGTTCTGTGGGGTGCTGAGCAGGCAGACCACAACACCCTCAGGCTTGTATCATGGGGCGTTAGGATGAGAAAGGATTTCTTGGGGTGGGGAGGGGTGTTCCACAGGGAAGAGACTCTGTTTACTTGAGATGTGTCCCCAGAAGTTTGAAGGCTGGGGACAGTGGCTCACAACACTTTGGGAGGCTGAGGCAGATGGGTCGCCTGAGCCCAGGAGTTAGAGACCAGCCAGGGCAACATAGTGAGACCCTGTCTCTACAAACAAACAAACAAAAAATAGCTGGGTGTGGTGGCGCACACCTGTGCTTCCAGCTGCCTGGGTGGCCGAGGTGGGAGGATTGCTTGAGCCTGGGAGGTCGAACTGCAGTGAGCTGAGATTGTAGCCCTGCACTCCAGCCTGAGTGACAGAGCAAGACCTGTCTCAAAAAAAAACAAAGAAGAAGAAGAAACATTGGTGGCTGCTGACGGTGTGCTGACAAGCGTCAGAGAACACATTTGATGACGTGAAACAGCAGTTAGTTATAATTGGAAGGTACCTTATCCCAGCATCATGAACTGTGGGGGCTTGCTGTGAGGTTTTCTTCATTATCTCAGAATAACCATGGCTCAGCTTCACTGGGCGTTGCAGAGCAGAGGTCTTTGGGCGAAATTTGGCCACAGATTTTTTTCTTTGTTTGATTTGCATGGTTTTTCTTTTCCTTTTAAAATTGTAACGTTTTACAATCAGAAGGTTTCACATAAAAATCCAAACTTAAGGCCAGGCGTGGTGGCTAACGCCTGTAATCCCAGCACTTTGGGAGGCCGAGGCGGGTGGATCACGAGGTCAGGAGTTGGAATTCAAGACCAGCCTGGCCAACATGGTGAAACCCTGTCTGTACTAAAAATACAAAAATTAGCTGGGTGTGGTGGTGTGTGCCTGTAATCCCAGCTACTCGGGAGGCTGAGGCAGGAGAATTGCTTGAACCAGAACCCAGGAGGCAGAGGTTGCAGTGAGCCAAGATCACACCACTGCCCTCCAGCCTGGGCTACAGAGTGAAACTCTGTCTCAAAAAAATAAAATCCAAACTTGGGCACATCCCTGTGTGCCAACAGCGGCTGCCACGGAGATGGGAGCTGGGGACACAGTGCAGTCGTATCTGGAGAAGTTGCAGCTCAGGGCTGACCCATGGGTGCCACGTGGGTTCTGGCTTCCCCCACCTTCCATCTGTGTATCAAAGCCACGAAGAGCTGTGTCAGGGTGGGTGTGGTGGGCAGGGAGGGGAGAGGACAGTTTGACCACTCTCTGAGTTTGTTGCATGTGGTATTTCTGGGCTTTCCCTGGCAGTGGCAGCCAGGGCTGGGTTTTGGTCTTCCTTGGCATAGGCAAGCACTCACTTTAATTTTTAATGAAGGTCAGATGTTCACCCGCCTCATGTTTATTGAGGTTGTCAGGGAAACGCGTTGGCGTTGCATGTAACTGCAGGGGAATCAGGACTCCCAGCCACTCGGGTCTCTTGGGCGTTCTTCTCCAGGGTAGGACTGTAAGCAGGCCAGGCATGCGGAGATCGATGTGGCCCGTGCCACTTCTCCTGGGCCTCAGCATCCCCTGCAGTGTGTGTGGGTGTGAGCCACAGACTTCCATGCTGCACTTCGCACTGCCCCAGTGGGCACAGCGGGCAGCGACCTGCTCTCTCACCCTGTCCCCTCTGCCAGTGCTCACATGGCAGCTTGTGTTAGTGAAGATCTTGGGGACAGCTGTGCCCTCGGTTGTGAACTTGCTCTTGTTCTCGTTGCATATCCCCAAGAGGCGAAAGACACCTGGGCCCTCCCAATGGCTGTGCGGGGCCTGGAGCAGCGTGTGCCGCCACCTTGACCCTGCCCTGCCGTGAGCGTGCTCACACACCTGCACCAGGGTCACTGGCAGACGCTCGGTGCTCCTGTGACACACGGGAAACCCGTGGACCCTCCTGCTGGACGGCAGGCCACTGCCTGTGGCTCAGTTGAATCCAGGAACTTCTAGCGTCAAAGCTGATTGTCAGCAGGTGCTGTATTCATCTGTGAGTCACGAGCATGAAATAAATCTAGTTTCAGTGGATCACAGCAAGCACTAAAAAACAGAGAACAGAACTGAAAAAGAAGATGCTGGAAGTCAGCGTGCTCTCAGCTGCCCCAGCAGGCATCGCCCAGACTGCGGCAAACACTGCAGCGCTCTGGAGAGGGGGGGCCAGGCTCACTCGCTGGCGTGGCCTTTGATTTTTCTGGAATGTGATGGCCATTTGTTTGTTGCCTTTACTGGAGAGCTCACCGCATGTCAACATGAGTCACCGTGGGGCCTCTTGCACGGGAGAATTTATCTGTGTCAGCAAAAGAATATGAAAATGCTGCAAATCCCCACCTTCTACCCTTTGCAAGACGTTCCACAGCGTCTGCCCACCCGGGTCTGGTGTGTTTTCTCCCGGGGATGCTATGGCGTGTCCGTACACCACGTGCGGTGTGGGGATGCCGCCGGGAGGTGGCACATTGAGACTGACCCTCGGAGGGTGGCTCTTCTGCCTCTAGAGGACCGTCCTCGTCCTCCAGAACTGTGTACCAGTCCCCGGTGGTCCCCCGCGCTCCGCATGACCTGCCATCAGATGAGCAGGTGCCAGCTCTCCAACCGGTGGGCGCTGGTGAGCGTTTCCTGAGCCCCTGCAGGGAGCTGCTCTGTTTGCTCAGATTCTTGGCCCCATTCTTTGTCTCCTAATTAGAAATCAGAGTTTTGAAGACTAGGGCGTAGTGCCTGACACGCCGAGGTGAGGAGAGCGGGAGAAGGGGTGAGTGCCGCAGGCTGGGGCATCTCGCTCTGTGGAGTCCTCAGCTTAACACAGGGACCGAGGTCTGCCCGAGGGGGGCAGAGCCTCCATCTCCGGCCCAGCCTTTTTGACAAGAAAGGAAGCTACCATGTATCGGACATTTTTGTACTTGAAACGTTTTCACTCCTTATCTTATTCCAGCTCCTAAAACCTCTGTGGGGTTCATTGTTCCCCCCACATGACAGCCATGCTCCAGGCTCAGTGGCGTACCCACAGTAACACAGCAGCCGGATGGAGGCTGAAGCCACACCAAGTCCATGCCCGCATCGAGACCTGGGTCATGCGTTCCTGCCCTGGCCACACCACTCCAGGTCTCCTGAGTCGGGAGGAAGCCCTTGTCCTGAGCCATACCCAGTACAGCGGACCCCTGAACAACGTGGGGATCAGCGCCCCAGCCCCGTGCAGTTGGAAACCTTTCACTCCCCCAGCCTGTGACTCCTACCATCAACTGGAAGCCTTGCTGATAACGTAAATAGCCGGTGAACACACTTATTATATGGCCTGAATTATATACTGTATTATTACAGTAAACTAGAGAAAAGAAAACATGATTAAGAAAACCATGGGAAGAGAAGATGTGATCACTGCAACCTCCACCTCCCATGTTCAACCAGCTCTCCTGCCTCAGCCTCCTGAGTAGCTTGCCTCCACACCTGGCTAATTTTTGTATTTTCGGTAGAGACAGGGTTTCACCATGTTGGCCAGGCTGGTCTCAAAGTCCTGACCTAAAGCGATCCACCCACCTTGGCCTCCCAAAGTGCTGGGGTTACAGGCATGAGCCACTGCGCCCATCCTGTGTTCTTATTCTTGACGTTCTCAATAAAGGTGTGCAGACAAGATTGAATTTTATTCCTCTATTAACTTTTCTGTCCCTTTTTAGAGACAAGAATGCCATTCATTAATCCGTGTGTAGCAGGAACGTGTGTGTAAACTAATGTGCCATGCTGGCATCTTTGTCTTTTTCTCTCGCCTGAGGAGCAGGTCCACCTCGCTGCAGGTCCAGTGTGGCAGAAGGTGCCGGATTCGCCCCAGGGCGTCCTTAGTCCGTTCAGTCTCTTGCCCCGTCCCGAACACTTGTAGTTTGATTCAGAATCGTACCCAAGTGGGCTCCGTCGTCCCTCCGCCCAGAATGGCCGCCCGCTTCACAGCCACTCACCCTCTCCCTCCCAGCGGCCTCTGCCTCTTCCTGTCTCCTGCCCCAAGACACCTTCCTCCACCTGAGGGGAACCCTCCGAACCCTGACCCTGACGGTGAGGCTGTCCCCGCCACCTGTGTCGCTCTTCTAGCAGGACCCGCGTGGACTGCCTGGCCTCGGGCTGGCACCCCTGGCATGGCATGGCCTGCAGCCAGGTCAGCATGGTGTGTCCCATCATGGGCTCTTGGAGTCTGTCGGACCGAATGTGCAAGGCTGAAAGTTAGTAACCTGTAGACTTAGGTGACTGTCCTGGAGTCATGCATATCTTTCCATGCTGTGTGTTGTGCGGCTTCCTAAACCGGTCGACCAGATGCTGGGGAACTGACCTGACCACTGACTCTTGGACCATGGCTTCTTATCAGACAGCCATGGTTGTGGCTATCCACAGGCACGGGGAGGTCCTGAGGTCTGCTCTCAGTGGTCTAGGAAGATTGTGGTGTGCACTGGCATATCCATAGGTGGCAGGTCCCTGACTCAGCCATCTGGGTCATGGAACCCTGCCCCGAGCCTGGCCCATGCTGGGTCCTGGAGCTGCAGAGGCCTGGCATTAGCTCTGTCTCGCACGACGAGGACGCCAGGGCGTCAGGTGCAGTCACAGGGTTTGAGTGCCGTGGTCACATCCCTGCAGGACCGGGAGGGCATGGCCAGCACCTCAAGAAATAGGGGATGGTTAAGGAGGCGAGCCGTGCCAGATGAGAAGGGCTGCGTCGGAAGGCTGGCGGCGGAGACAGGGAAGGTGGTCCACGTGCGGGTGTCCAGGATGCCCAGGGAGCCCGTGTGGCTGTCCTGTGTGGCTGTCCCGTGTGGATGCCGAGCTGCAGAGTGGGGAGGGGCCTGGAGCATCGGGGTCCTGGGTCCTAGGGAGGGCAGAATAAGAAGTGGGTGGAAATTGTGTTCTAGAGTCACGGCCATGACGGCAGTATGGGAAGGCCAGGCGGTGGTTCACACCTGTGATTCCATCACTTTGGGAGGCTGAGCTGGGCAGATCACCTCAGGTCAAGAGTTCAAGACTAGCCTGGCTAACATGACAAAACCCCGTCTCTACTAAAATTGGCTGGGCATGGTGGTGGGCACCTATAGTCTCAGCTACTTGGGAGGCTGAAACGGGAAAATCACTTGAACGGGGAGGTGAAGGTTGCAGTGAGCCGAGATCGTGCCATTGCACTCCAGCCTGGGCAACAAGAGTAAAACTCCATCTAAAAAAAAAAAAAAAGAAAGATGGGAAGCCAAGAGGGTGGCCCAGTTGGGAGCACTGGAAGGTGGGGGCCCTGAGAGTCACTCTGGACCCCACATCCTATTCCCAGGAGCAGGCTGCACAGACAGCTCCTGAGACCTCCGCCCCTCCTGCCAGACTTCTTCCTCTGTACCACCTCCCTAACAAGTCTGCTCCACTTCAGAGGAGTCAAGAGGCCCCACTACTGGCCTTTCCAGGTTTCTGCCGTGTTCAAAAGCCCAGTTCGGACACTGCCCTCCTAGATTCCTCTAACTTGATTGCCAGGGGCAGCAACTTTCAAAGTGATGCAAAATTACTACAAATGTACGGCAAAAATACAGTATTTTAGCTATATTGCAGGTTTTATAGCCAACCTAGGAAGTTAACCACAAATTATAAGGCTCTTCTGTGTAAGAATATGTCATTCCTCCCTAACAGCAGTTCTAGAATAAGCTTTTGGAAGCCAGCTTGCTCAGATGTGGCTTTGCTGTCTTCGATCCCATGCTCTCCTGGGCAGGTTCTTGCAGGCCTTTGGCTTCAGTTACGCGTCTCCTCCCACGGCTCTGCTCCCAGCCCAGAACTTTCTTTGATGTGCGGTCCTGTAATTACAGCTGCCCACCAAACGAACACGCCCCAGGTGGCTTGGGTGGAACCGGCCCTTCCTGGTTCCCCGTGGGGAGCATGTCCGGTGCTGTCATCCCGAGTCCCTGCAAGCCCCCGCTATCTCCTCCCCTAACCCACTCCAGTCCCGCCACACTGGGGCTCTGCCTCACTTGCTCGCTCCGTGGTTCCAGCTGTCCCAGGTCCTGTCCTGTGTCTCCTTCCCACTTGGATTTCCGAACCAGACACTGTCCTGCAGACAGAGGCCGTGTCTTGAGCAAGTCTGCCCGAATTTAACACGGCAGCTGGCCCAGAACGGTCAGCATTTGCTGCCTGAGTGCCTGAGTGGCTGAGCAAATCGTGTGCAAAATCGCAGCTTCCATTTGGTGAATCTGCTGAATAAAACATCCCGCTCTCTGGTAACATTGAGCTGCCCATTGGTACTTAGCTTGGAGTTTAAAAGTGACTTATAACCTTGTTTTTATTTTGGGATTTTTCATTTTTTAATTTTGCTTGTTTTTGGAGATGGGGTCTTGCTCTGTTGCCTGGGCTGGAGTGCAGTGGTGCCATCATAGCTCACTGCAACTCCTGAGCTGAAGCAGTCCCCCCTCCTCAGCCCCCCAAAGTGCTGGGATTACAGGTGCACACGACCACACCCAGCCGGGATTTCTAATGAGAATATTAAAGCAGAATGTTCCCAGCTTTTTGGAGCTGGTCTTCTTTTACCTGTGTGGATTCTGACGAATTCATTGACAGAAGGATGTGGTGTTTTTACAGATGCCTGCTCTGTGCCCGTATCCGAGATCATCGCCGTTGAGGAAACAGACGTTCATGGGAAACATCACACCAGTGGAAAATGGCAGAAAATGGAAAAGCCTTACGCTTTTACAGGTGATAGAGCCTAAACGTCTTCTCCCACAATCTTCATTACTTCTATGTAGATTACATGAGACGGAGCTTTTTTGCCACTTGCTTAACAAGCTCAATGCATTGATTTATCTTTATGGAAACTTCCTAATGCTTTTTTCCAAACGCTACCTTTTGTTAATATTTTCGTTAATGGTCATCTTTTCCTTTTTTTTTTTTTTTGTTTGAGACAAAGTTTAGTTCTTGTTGCCCAGGCTGGAGTGCAGTGGCGCTATCCCAGCTCGCTGCAACCTCCACCTCCCGGGTTCAAACAATTCTCTGGTCTCAGCCTCCTGAGTAGCTGGGATTACAGGCATGCGCCACTACGCCCAGCTAATTTTTGTATTTTTAGTAAAGACGGGGTTTCACCATGTTGGCCAGGATGGTCTCAATCTCCTGACCTTGTGATCCGCCCACCTCAGCCTCCCAAAGTGTCGGGATTACAGGCGTGAGCCACCGCGCCCAGCCCTTTTATCTTATTTTCTTTATGTGACTTAGAAGGTTTGAAAGAGAGACTGTTTTGCTAATATACGTCAGTAGTTACTAACTAGTTAGAAGGGAAGAGAACCCCTGGGAAATCCAAGTTAGGAACCTGTAACTAGCTGCATCTGGTGGGTATTCGCTTGAGGGGTCGTCAGTGACAGTGCAAAGTTTGCACTAACGAGCGTGTTTGCTTCTGTGCAGTTCACTGTGTAAAGAGAGCGAGACGGCACCGCTGGAAGTGGGCGCAGGTGACTTTCTGGTGCCCAGAGGAGCAGCTGTGTCACCTGTGGCTGCAGACCCTTCGGGAGATGCTGGAGAAGCTGAGTATGTGTGTGTTAGGACTGAGAGACGGGATGGCTGTGGGGGCACACGCATGCCCGATTGGGTGATCTTCCTGATGTATCTGCCTTCATGCAGCTGGCCACACCCCAGGTGGACATGATGAGTCAGGCTGACTTAATTTCTCATTAGTGCACCAGCCCAGTGAGTGCAAAGAGCATGGGCTGCACAGCCTGGACCCTGGCGTGGAGTCCAGCCCCCTGCTCACTAGCCAGGAGGTATGGGGGTAGGTCACTTACCCTTCTGAGCCTCAATTTCTCTTTCTGGGAGTCAGGATGGTAATAGCTTTTACATTCAAGGTGAATGTGAGAATTAAACTGGGCACCTGGAGGAATATACCTCATATCTGTCTGGGATGTATCAACATCTTTGTTAAAAAATCTTTTTCTTGTTTTTTTGAGACGGAGTCTTGCTCTGTTTTCCAGGCTGGAGTGCAGTGGCATGATCTTGGCTCACTGCAACCTCCACCTCCTGGGTTCAATTGATTCTTCTGCCTCAGCCTCCTGAGTAGCTGGGACTCCAGGCACACGCCACCACGCCTAATTTTTGTATTTTTAGTAGAGACGAGGTTTCACCGAGTTGGCCATGCTGGTCTCGAACTCCTGACCTTAGGTGATCTGCCCACCTTGGCCTCCTAGAGTGCTGGGATTACAAGTGTGAGCCACTGCGCCTGGCCAGGGACGTGTCCACATCTGAAATGTCGTAGGAGCCTGCAGCCTGGTGGGTTAGTTACTGCATGCTGAGTAACAAGCCTGTCACCCTTAAAAAGTGGTAGGATGGGTAGAGACATAATCTGTACATTAAACCCCCATGACATGCAGTTATCTATATAGCAAACTTGCACATGTACTTGTGAACTTAAAAGTTTAAAAAAAGGAAAATGTGGTACACACACACACACACACACACACAGAGCGGTAGATGTTTATTCATTTTGTATTCATAACACTATTTCATGTTGTTTGAGTACAGCCTTAAGACACAATTTTTTTTTTGAGACAGGCTTTCCTCTGTTGCGCAGGCTGGAGTGCAGTGACATGATTTCAGCTCACTGCAACCTCCACCTCCCGGGCTCAAGTGATCCTCCCACCTTAGTCTCCTGAGTAGCTGGGACTACAGGTGTGCGTGACCATGCCTGGCTAATTTTTTTTACATTTTTTGTAGAGACAGGGTTTTGCCATACTGCCCAGGGTGATCTCGAACTATTGGGCTCAAGCGATCATCCCATTTCAGCCTCCCAAAGTGCTGGGATTACAGGTGTGAGCCACCGAGCTCACCATACACAGTCTTGCCAACTCAGGCTAGGCTTCACCGGTAGAATAGAAATTGGCATGCGTTTAGGTTAGTTTTATATATTCGAATGAATTTGGCACCCACATCAAGAAAGTGAATTTCAGTTTATTATGAGACATTCCCACATATCTGCCTGAGAGAAGCATCCTTGCTTGAAAGAACCCTTCTCTTGATTACCACCGGGGCGGGAGGACCTGCACTTCCGCACTTCGTGTTTAATCCCGGGGAGCCTGGCCTCCACCACCTATTGGTGGAGCTCATGACAAGCTCATCATGACAGTCCTCGCATGCAAAACCACCACAAGCCCTGTTCCTGTGCGTGTCGCTCCGCAGTCGGGTGTTCAGAAAAGTGCGTCTGTTTCTCCCGCCTTCCTGCCCCCATTTGTCTCTCAGCTCCCCCTTTCCGTCCGTCCCGCTTTCTCCTTCCCTTTCCTCCCATCAAACCTGTTTCCTTTTTTTTTTTTTTTTTTTTTTTGACGTGGAGTCTGGCTCTGTCACGCAGGCTGGAGTGCAGTGGCGTGATCTCAGCTCACTGCCACCTCCACCTCCCAGGTTCAAGCGATTCTCCTGCCTCAGCCTCCCGAGTAGCTGAGACTATAGGCACCCACCACCACATCTGGCTAATTTTTGTATTTTTTAGAGACAGGGTTTCACCATCTTGGCCAGACTGGGCTTGAGCTCCTGATCTCAGGTGATCTACCCGCCTCGGCCTCCACAAATGCTGGGATGACAGGCGTGAGTCACTGCACCTGGCCCAAACCAGTTTTCATGAGACTTTGGGTGACTGGACTCCAGGTTTGATCCTTCAAGTGCAGACTCCAAGAGAAAGTCCTCTGAACCCTGCCTCCCAGTGAGGAATGTGGGTTCATTTTCATCCTTATAATTCACAGAAAAACCCACAGAGCTGTGTATCTGGCATAGTCCACTCGTATCTGAAGATTGTGTATGATTCTATTGTTTCAGCCATCTTCAAGTTTAACTTCTGACCTTGCTGTCTGTTTAGTGGTTTTTTTTTGTTTCTTTCTGTTTTTTGAAACAGTTTCACTCCATCACCCAGGCTGGAGTGCAGTGGTGCGATCGCTGCTCATTGCAAACTCCTCCCCCCAGGTTCAAGTGATTCTCCTGCCTCAGCCTTCCGAATAGCTGGGATTACAGGCACCCGCTAGCTACCACACCCGGCTAATTTTTGTATTTTTTTGTAGAGGAGGTGTTTCACCATGTTTGCCAGGCTGGTCTCAAACTCCTGACCTTAAGTGATCCATCCGCCTCGGCCTCCCAAAGTGCTAGGTTTACAGGCTGTGTTAATGTTTGATTGGCATGTCACAGATGCAGAGGATCTCGTTCTGAGTGTGCACTGGGTGAATTTTCACACTGAGCACACTTGTGTAACCAGCACCCAGATAGAGGAGCAGAATATTGCCAGCCCCAGGGTCCCCCGCCATGTCTCTGTTGTCATTACTCCCCAAAGGAGAATGACTTCCATGACCTCTAAGCAGCTAGGTTCATTGCTGTACTTGACATAAATCAAATCATACGGTAGGAACACTTTTCCGCCTGGCTTTCAGCTCAACGTTGCACTTGTGAAGTTTCCACGCTCTTGCGTGGAGCCGTAGTTTGTTCCTTCTCTGGGCTGTGTGGCATTCTGTGACGTGAATGTCACAGCCATTTCTTCACCCGTGGTACTGCGGCTGGGGGTCTGGCTAGCTTCCTGATGTACCTATCAACAGTAGTATTGCAGACGTTTTAGGGCATGTCTGCATTTCTCCTGGGTGCATACCTGGGACTGGAGTTGCCGGGTTGTATGTGTCTGTTGCACGTGTTGACTTCCGTAGACACTACCAGCCTGCATTCCACCCTCAAGGGGCAGGAGTTCTGGCTGCCCCGCATCTCAGCCACACCTTTACGTTTCAGCCGTGGTGCTGAGTGTTAGTAGTCTTGCATTGTGGTTGTAGTTTGCATTCCCTAATGGTTAATGAGGCTGAGAAACACATTCATATGTTTATAGGCCATTTGGATATCCCCCTTTGTGAGGATCTGTTCAAGTTTTGTCCATTTTTCCGTTTGGATGTTTCCCCTTCCTTCCTTCCTTCCTTCCTTCCTTCCTTCCTTCCTTCCTTCCTTCTTCCTTCCTTCCTTCCTTCTTTCCTTCTTTCCTTCTTTCCTTCCTTCTTTCCTCCTTTCCTTCTTTCCTTCTTTCTTCTTTTCTTTAAGAGACTCTTGCTCTGTTGCCCAGGCTGGAGTGGAGTTGCACGATCCTGGCTCACTGCAACCTCTGCTTCCGGGGTTCAAGAAATTCTCAGCCTCCCTGCACCACCATGCCTGGCTAATTTTTTGTATTTTTTAGTAGAGGAGTGTTTTCACCATGTTGTCCAGGCTGGTCTTGAACTCCTGGCCTCAAGTGATCCACTTGCCTTGGCCTGTCAAAGTACTGGGATTACAGGCCTGAGCCACCATGCCCGGCCAGTGTATCTTTTTTTTTTTTGAGATGGAGTCTCACTGTTTTCCAGGCTGGAGTGCAGTGGCGCAATCTTAGCTCACCACAACCTCCGTCTCCCAGGTTCAAGCCGATTCTCCTCCTCAGCCTCCTGAATAGCTGGGATTACAGGCTTGTGCCACCATACTCGGCTGATTTTTTTTTTTTTTTTTTTTTTTTG